CCATCTCAATTGACATAGAAAAAGCATTTGACAAAAAAAAATTTTTTTCCTTCCTAATAGAAACTTTCAACAACCAAAAATAGAAGGGAACTGTCTCAATCATATGAATGGCATGTACCAAAAAAACTATAACATGTTACTTAATGGTGAAATGCTTTCCCCCCTAATATCAGGACAAAAAATATCTTCTATTCAACACTGCACTACAGGTGCTAGCCAGCTCAATAAGACAAGAAAAATAAACATAAGTACAATGACCTCCCCAAAAAATTTTCATTACAAAGGGGAAAAAGTGTAACTTTACAATGGAAAAGTCTGTCAGGCACCATCTAAATAAAGTAATCAAAGTGAATATAATCAGTGATAGGACAAATCAAATTTTCTGCCACCTGATAGAATGCAATGAGATCACAGTACCACTTTTATGATATTATAGCCAAAGACACATAGCATGAATCGAATCATTAGGAATAACCAGACAAACCCAAATTGAGAGGCATTCTATATAATAAATGGCCTGTAATCTTCAAAAGTGACAAGGTCATGAAAATCAAGGAAAGACTAAGGATGGTTCCAGATTGAAGAAAACTTAAGAGACATGAGCACTAGACGTAGTTCATGATTTAAACTAGATTCTTTTGCTATAAAGAACATGATTAAATTTAAATCAAGTATGAGGATTAGATGCTACTAATCTATCAATGTTTATTTCTATTCTCTGTTGCATTGTGGCTGCACAGAATCCCAGATCCACTCAATCAAAATCTACATTTAACAAATCCCCAAGTGATTTATAAACATAGCAATATTTGAAGAGCACTGTTCTCAGGAAACCTTGAATGTAAGCCCAAAGAGACATGAACACGGATAGTTACTGCACCATTATCTGCATAGCAAACAACTGGAAACATAACAAATGACCCTCATAGCATCAGTCAGGTCAGTTATCCTATAGTAACAACAATCTGAAAAATCTCAGTCGCTTAAAACAAAGATTTATAACTTACTCATGTTATACACCCATAACAGGTTGGCAGGGAAGCTCTGCTCATTACAAATATGAACTCAAACACCATCTTTTAAAGCTACCATTTGTCATGACCAGGGGAAAATAAAACTCTGGAGGGACTTACACTAGAAATTAATTGCTAAACCCAAAAGTAACACTCATCACTTCTGCTCACATCTTATTAGCCAAAAAGTTACACAGCCCAAGCGAGCTCAAGAAAATATAATCCTACTATGTGCCAAGAGAAGGATCAGCTAGAGATACTGGTGAACAGCACTTTCTAACAGCCACCAGAACTGTAAGAGGAGATGTGAATTATTCATATAATAGACTACTACAGAGCATTTGGACCTGGAGAGTATTATGCTAAGTGAAATAAGCCAGTCAGAAAAAGATAGTATCACATGATCTCACTCATATGTAGAATCTAATGAACAAAATAGACCCAGAGACATACAAGCATGGAACAGACTGACAAATTTCAGAGGGAAGGTGGGGGGTGGGGGGGAGGGTAAGAGGGGGGAGCAGGAGGGCAATTCGACTTTTAAGGGGGGCCAATTCGAGAATGAGTTATTAACAGTGAATTTTTTGCATTTCTTATGGTTCTAGGGGCCTCATATACAGTATATAAGTATATATTGTGACATATTTATGCATTTCAGTTCTCTATTATATATTATGAAACTTTACTTGCTATATTTTCATATTACTTCATTTTTTTTAACAATTTCTTAGTGATTTCTTCCTCAGTACTTCAACTGTCCTTTTGTCCTTTTATTTTTCTCTTTCATGGATGCCATGATCTTTGGAAGCTTGTTTAGACCAAGTTAATGGCCTTTTAGCCTTCCTCCACGTGAATAGGAGTTCACTTTTTGAATAATAAAAATTATATGTCACAGGGGTGGGCATCAGGATTTTAGAGATTCTTAGGTGGGGCATAACCAAAAAAAAGGTTGGGAACCATTGCTCTAGCCTATCAGCCTACTCCACAGATTTTAGACTCTCCAACCTCCATAGTCATGTGAATCAATTCCTTAAAGTGGCCTCTCACTCTCCCTCTCTATTTACACACACACACACACACACACACACACACACACACAATTGGTTCTGTTACAATGGAGAACACCTGCACCAGAACCAGTAACTATTCTACTATAATACTAAACCAAAGCATGTTTCTCAAACCAACTATCACTAAAACAGTTATAGGTTTTTCCCCTGGAAGACTAGGTCTTCTAAACTCAAACTGAGTACTGTTTCTTATTAAACATAATACATGACAAAATAAATCAGCATACCACTAGTATATGTAAATAAATCTTAGGATAAATCAATAGCTATACAAAAGTCTAGAGAAGATGTTATATGAACTTTATTTTTAAAGGTTATGCGAAATATATACTTTGAAAGTATTCTAAATAATAGAAATTTTAGGTAGCAAAAGATATTCAATATAAAAAAAATCTTACCTTTTAGTTTTCATCTGGTCCCTCAGTTTGCTATACATCTCCAGAACTTGAAAGAGAAGGGGGAAAAGCACACAATCATTATTTAGAGAAAGTGAAACACTAATTAAAGCTAAAGGAATTGCATCAAGAATCCTACTCCATTTCTAGTTCCTCACCTGGAAGACACAGCATTAATTTATCAACAGTGGCAGAAATATTTCTCTGTTGTAGTCGACACTGCTTCAGCTCTTCCATTGCTATTACCAGCTTGGCAAGAGGGGGAAAAAACTGAATTATGCCAATAGCTGTAAATAAAAAGCTTTCAGTCACATTTTTCCACCCTGTGTTCAATTCATCAGAAAATCCCAGGCAGTTTCATAGTAAGACCTGCCAAGTAACTAAAGAACCACCTTTCTCAACCAGTAAAACATTCCTATGTGGTTTCCTTCTTTCTCCTCAAGATACAAGGAAAGGCTAGGTAAAATGAAATCCTAAATTCAGAGGCTATCCAGGGAGAAACAAGAAAATATTCAGATTTTCTCAAACCCTATTCAGATTCTTCATGGTTTATGGTTTCATCTTCTGAAAAAATCCTATATTTCTTCCATCATTGCTAGAGTACTAGAGAAAAGTAACCCTTCCTATGCAACTTCAAATAAGTCTTTAAAATAATCTCAACTAATACTCTATTTCAATAAATAAACCACACACTTAGAAGTTGTGCTTTTCCAAAAATTCCAGTTTAGGGAAGAGTAACTCAATTTTTTTACCCAAAGCTGTTTTAAAGGCTTTGGTCTAATGTCAGACCACAATAAAACTAGAAGAATTTACTCTCTGCAAAATTTAAAATATGTGCCAAACTTTCAAAAAGTACTAATCTATCTACATAGCCTCTTGTAATATTCCCATAGTCATAACTTAAAATGTTATCTGTTTAGATACCATGCAAAAAAGAACAAGAGAAAATGGTCCTGAGTAAGTTATGATCAAGAGCTAATCTTCAACATTATTGGGAGTTAACAATAAATATTAGGCAATAAGTAAGGTACATAATACAAAGAACTAAAATGGACTACATGCAAATCAGAGAGTTTTCGTCCCAGTCTTCCCATTTACTATATAAACTTTAGCAAATCATGTTTTAACTTCCTCATCAATAAAATAGTGATAACAACTGTCCTGACTTTGTCATAAGTCTGTCATGAAGATCAAGTGAGAAAATGGATATAAAATAATGTTGTAAACTGTGATGATTTAATTGATGAGTATATTAATTAAATCTTTTTAACAAGTGTTTATGGAGCATCCACTTAGTTCCAGTCACTATTTAGACAGGTAGAGGGGATATAGCAATATATAAAACAAACAAAAATTCCTGACCTCACGGAGTTTAATTTCTAATGAAAGAAGATAGACCAAAAGAAAAAAAACACAAATATATAAATAAAAATATATAACATCAGAGCGTGATAGATGTAATGGAGAAAAATAAAGCAAGAAAGGTAAAAAGAATACTGGGGTTGAGAGTGAAACTGCAATTTCAAATAAAGTGGCTAGAAAATGCCTCATTACAAAACAGAAAGGTGTGAAGTGAATAAATATTGGGAAAAGAGCATTCCAGCCAGAGGGAACAGCACTGTTCTTATGATGACTACCCAAGTGATTTCAAAACACAACTAAGAAAGGCTACATCCTCTCTCATTAAGCTTTCTACTGGTTGCATTCATTTAATTCAGATAAACATTAGGAGCAGCAACAATAATATCCAAATGCCTCCAATATACGGCTTATGGTCTTACAAGCCACTAAGTCAAGAACATAATCATTAAAAGAGAATGACAGAAAACAGAAAAGGTTTTTTTCAAAAGGTAAACTGGCCTTACTTCCTTTCCCTCATGTTGTAGTTTTCTATTAGTGTCCGTCACTTGATTCTGTGGAGAGAAGACAATTTAAACTCATAAAAACAAACATTTAGGCAACAGTTGGATAAGATCAAAATTTACAATGAAAAGACTGAGAATAAATATTCAGGTAGCTTCGGTATTCCACCACATTTGGGTTTAATGGCATCCTCTTGGTTGAAATTATATCAACTTTTCTACTAAATGTTGCATGGCCTCTTCAACAATGATAAGAAAAATTAAAAAAAAAAAGAAAAGAAAAATTTACTAAGAGGTATGTTCCATTTTGAATATTCCAAACAATACTGTAACAACTAAAAATCATACTTAAATTTTGAAAAGAAAAGAAAAAGGAAGTAGAAAAAATAACCCACACAAAATCTTACCATCTCTACTTTGTGCAAAAAGAACAAATTTTATCATAGATATTCCTCACTTCACTAATGTGTTCCTGGAAGTTAAACTGAACTTTTTAACTCAGGCCAAATTTAACCTATTTATTATCCTAACTTTAAAAAATATTTTAATTTAATTTTTTTGTATCATTAATTGTTGACAGCCCATAATGCTTCCATATTCCCATTTTTCTAAATTAATCTCTCCATCAGATAGTCAAACCTATGTGAACAAGCCTTAAAATTATCTAGAGTTCATAATTTAAAGGAATTGGAACCACTTTTGGGGATATCTACTTTTGAAGACTCAAGTGATATAAAAAATATATAAATACATAGAATAGTAATTTCCTCACCATCTCAGACATTATCAAAACATGAGCAATATTAACTTCTAAAGCTTTCTTTGACAAAGGCTCTCTACCCTTCTACCAGTAACTGCCACTACTTATACTTTTAAGGCATTCCTTTAACCCAGCTTTTCCTATTATGTTCCTTAGAAACACCAAGAAATGTTAGTTATTGGGTACTCTATATTTGCACACAGAGGTGCACACATGCACAAACACACATACACACACAAACACACATACATACACAATATGTATGGGAAATACCACTGAACAGATGAGTTTACTGAGGATTTCTTGAAGCCTTTAATTTAGTACATGCACTGTGAATGCCCAAGAAGGGGATATCATACAGAGTCTTTTCCAAAGTTATTTAGCATAACACCCTTTTATTGAGGATCATATCAAGAAACTAGTTTTTCAGTAACGGACTTTTGAAAACATTGCCCTAAACTATACCTGGACTATCATTTTCAGAGCAGATTACCATATGCACCCTCTTTCAAAGACAAAATGAATTCTGACCTCCTCCAGAAAGTCCTTATAAAGTATAAAACAGAAGCAAGAAATCCTCAAATTCCCTCTTGATTATTTATTTAATAGCACCACATGAGAAACATTTCATTGGCCTGTGAGTTCAACATGAATTAAGAATGTGATGTTTTGGGGGGGGGCGGGGGGCGGAGAAGGGGTAAGAGATCAACCAAAGGACTTGTATGCATGCATGTAAGCATAACCCATGGACACAGACAGGAGGGTGAGGGCATGTGCTAGCAGGTGGGAATGGCCGGGGAGAGGTCAATGGGGGGAAAAGGAGACATACGTAATACTTTAAACAATAAAAAATTTAAATTTTAAAAAAAGAGAGAGTGGGATGTAGCCATCCAAATGCTCTAAGACTACATTAATAAACATGTTGTCTAAAACAGGAGTCAGCAAATTGTTCTTCTAAAGGGGCAGGTAGATAGTCTCTGTTGCAACAACTCTGCTCTGCCATTGTATCAAGAATGCAGCCAAAAACATAAGTGAATGGGCATTGCTATATTCCAATAACTTTAATTACAAAAATATGAGGCAAGCTGGATTTGGCCTGCAAGATACAGTTTGCTGATCTTTGGTCTACAATAAATGAGACAGTAAGTCTTTAAAATCACAGTATGAGAATTACATTCAGATGCCATGTTTTAGGAAAGTCATTGGCAAACTGAAGCATGATTAGCCGTGATAATGTTTGAAGAGGGAGTCAAAGCTACCCACATGAAAAATAGAAAGAGGAATTTTTAGCTGAAATGTTACCAGTGCCCAGGATTCTTTCATTCTCCCAGGATAGAAATGAAAGATCACCAGAGACCAGGGCCTAGTCTGCATTGGTCAGAATCAAACCCAGGTGTCCTACATGAAAGAGGAGATTTCTACCATTTAACCAACCTGGGTTCTTGGAAACTCCCAACACAGAACTCTAGAGAGTTCACCACATAAGTAGGGCTCATTATATATATAGCTCAAGCATACAGGGAAGCAACATTTAGCAGGGGTCCTCAAACTTTTTAAACAGGGGGCCAGTTCACTGTCCCTCAGACCGTTGGAGGGCCGGACTATAGTTTAAAAAAAAAAACTATGAACAAATTCCTATGCACACTGCACATATCTTATTTTGAAGTAAAAAAACAAAACGGGAACAAATACAATATTTGTATTTGCATGTGGCCGCGGGCCGTAGTTTGAGGACCCCTGATTTAAAGGGAGAAAGAGAAATGCTGCTCTCTAAACAAACGCCAGAGAACAGTTTGAAATTAGTGGAGGCAGGAAAGATGATGTGTAAGTATGACATCTAAGTATGTAGGGGCGGAGACTCTTTGGCACTTTCGCAGTTGCATGTCTCATTAGCATGTTAAATCCCCACCCAGGGCGGTGTATTTTTACTATTATAATGAGCATAAGGTCTCGCAATTGATCATTCAGGGGCTTAACTGTATATGCATTAGGGTCAAGAAAATCTCTGCTGGAGAAAGCGATTCCTGGCACTAATTAGGTACAGAGTTTGAGGGGCAACTGATTGAAATTCCAAACTTTTCTAGGAGAGACTCAGCCTGTCTCACAAAGAGGGGGATATATTCTCTTGGAGACACTATATGCTAAACCTGGGCACTATACACTATACTCCATACCTGGACAGCAACTGTCCTTCAAACATCTCAAGACCCATCAGAAAAAAGGTGTTAGCCTAAAAATAGTGCTTACTACTCAAACCAATAAATGGATGTTACTAGAAAATAGAATAAATATTAACTCAGTGCAAGAAAAAGCTTTTAAGCAATGTGAATAAAAATGGGGTAGGATGCCCTGAATGGCAGTGTTATCCCTTTAGAGCAGGTATTCTAGAATAATTTGATTATTTTACCCTAAAGTGGACATCTCATAAAATTCAGCCTTCCATAAATATTACTAAACAGTATCATTGAATCTGCTAGAAAACCTTGTTTACCATATAAAGACAACATTTCTGAGTTTTTTTTTCGTTAAACTCATTACAAGAAATACATTTTATACTGCAGCCCAGTACACAAGTATAGGGAATACACACACACACACACACACACACACAAACTGAAGCAAAATCTTCAAGAAGCTTTGTTTACCTTTACTGCATGTAATACACTTTATTTTCTAGTCTAGTCTAGTCTATTTCAGTCTAGTCTAGTCTATTTCATATCAATTCTTGTTAAGAGCCCTGACCGGTTTGGCTCAGTGGATAGAGCGTCGGCCTGTGGACTCAGGTCAAGGGCATGTACCTTGGTTGCGGGCATATCCCCAACAGGGGGTGTGCAGGAGGCAGCTGATCGATGTTTCTCTCTCATTGATGTTTCTAACTCTCTATTCCTCTCCCTTCCTCTCTGTAAAAAATCAATAAAATATATTTTTTAAAAAAAAGAAGAATATTGATCACGGCCCACTAATTGATTTCATGCAAACCAGATACTAAAACGTATCCATAATAGCCTAACAATGCTTCTGATAAGAAATTACTATTTCAATACTACCCTATATAATAAAAGGCTAATATGCAAATTGTCCCCTCAACCGGGAGTTTGACCAGTTCAACTGGGAGTTCAACCAAAGGGCAGGGCCAGCCGGCCAACCACTCACGACCCCTCCCCTGGCTGATCTGGCCCAATTGGCCCGATCAGGGTGGGCAGGCCGGACCCCACCCATGCATGAATTCGTGTACCAGGCCTCTAGTTTTAACATAACAATGAAAAGTAACTATACTGCCCCTCTAGGATGCAACTTCTCAAGATTCATAATACACAAATACACACATACAGACACACACACATGCTGTGAATCAAAAGAAATAGCAGGCTTCCTATAGAGTAGTTTCTTATCATTGTTATGTTAAAATAGTATTGAACAGTTAATGCTTAACCTTTTCCATTTTCTAAACTCTTTTCTAGAATTCAAGAACCTCTAAATTTCATAGGTTCTTAACCCTAGTTGAATGGATCCCCCTAGAGCAGAGCCTCCAAGGTATACTGCTAAACTGTAATCCCCCCCAATTCTTAGAATGAGTGAGTGCAGCCTAAGCAGCCAAAAAACCTGAACTGGTAGTCCCTAATTCTTGTTTCTCCTCAAGGACATCCTGAATGATTTAAAGGAATTTGCAACTTGAAGGAAAAGATGAGTACCAACCAGCAGTTGGTGAGCGTTATAGGCAATATTCTGTTGCTACCTGCCTACACTTGACTATTTCAGTAACTGAAGACAGAATATCCTGGCACCCAGCATGAGGGGCACAGAGAGTGAAGGGAGAAGTTTGGAATACAAGTGTTCCAGGAACATAAAAAAAAAAAAGACTAAGGTGAGGGTGTGAAGCTGGGGTGGCTGAGTAAGAAGTTTGATAGCTTCATATCCATTCAGGCCAGATTTTGCTGTTAAATTGGCTTTTAAATCACTGTAGCTTTAAAATATAATTTTAAACATTTAATAGTCCACTTTTCCCCTCAATAAAATTGTTTATTTGCTTTTCTTACCAGTGTATTATTTTATACTAGAGGCCTGGTGTGCGAAATTCATGCACTGGGGGGGGGGCGGGGGGCCTCAACCCGACCTGCACCCTCTCACAGTCCAGGAGCCCTCGGAGGATGTCTGACTGATGGCTTAGGCCTGCTCCCTGTGGTGAGCGGGCCTAAGCCGACAGTCGGACATCCTTAGCGCTGCCACAGCGGCCAGGAGCCTCTGCCTCAGCTCCCGCCACTGCAGCAGCTGCCTCTGCCTCGGTGCAGCACCATGGCTTCATCCAGAAGGACGCCCAGAAGGACATCCGGTCTAAATAGCATATTACACTTTTATTATTATAGATGATTTTACACTCACTATCAAGTTCCCTATACCCCAGGTATATCCTTTGGAGACTTTAATTCAAATTCTAATAAGACCAAAACAAAAACAAAAAACAAATAAAGAAAGTATAAAGGTTGGAAAGAAGGAAATAAAGCTCTTATTACTTGCAGATCATATGAGTTTTCTATGTAAACTCAAAAAATGTACATGTAAATTATTAAAAATAATAGAAGAGTTTGGTGAAGTGGTGAGATTTAAAATCAATAAGCAAAGTCAGCTACCCAAGAGAAGTGAAATTGCTAGGCCAGGTACCAAACTAACATGGCTAGCCTCCTTCCTGAACTTAAATCTGTCATATCAAGAAAGAATTCATGCTTTGGTAGAAGACACTCCACAACTATCACTGATTTTTTTTCCCTTTGGCTTAGGTTGCCATGCTGCCAACTTCTATAGCCAGGCCCTGCAATACCATCATTCTACAGGGATGACTTTTATCTAACAAAGAAGTAAATAGATGTCATGAATTTCTGTTTTAAAGAAACTATTACTTATTCTATTACTGGTTTTCATCACATGTAGTCATCCCAAATAAATTTAACTTTAAAAAGTTTTCTTTTTTGGCTAAAAGCCATAATCCCAATTATCCATGTTTCAGTACAAATTCCTTTCTTACTATACAAAAATCCTATTTATAGTAAATATGTAACCTATAATGTAGTCCCTATTCCTTTAATGCTAGTCAAAACCCCAGCACAGGACAGAGAAAAAAAGTCCCTCTTAGAGTGTTCTTACTTTGAGTTTTTGGGCTTCTCCTCTCACTTTCAACAGTTCAGTAATAGAGTCCACAAAACCCTGGTAGTGAAAGTTGCACATTTTCTCAATTTCTCGGTCATGATTGCGGATGCGAGTTTCAAGCTTCTCCATGAATCGTCCATGTTCCTCACCATCATAGACAGACCTTAAAAAAAAAATGGCATGAAGATTACACCAGACTTACTCTAAGAAACAGAAAAAGAATTGCAAACCTAGATGCAAATTTATTTGGAAATCAGATATGAAAGTACATAAACCACAGAGTAATCCAGCTGTATTAATACTGTTTCAATGCTAGATGAGTATTTTTTAGGAAAATCCAAAATTTTGCTTCCTATTCATTCAGAAATATTTAAGTGTTTGAAAGTATTCATCATAGAATTCTCATCATAAAATGAAGAACTGAATTACATGTCCTTTGCACTTTTCTTCCTCAGTTAAATTAATCTAGAAAAACTTAATTTTGGATAAACACAACTTGAAATACTCCATGACTATACCCAAGAAACTGACACTGCTGGAGAACAATCACATAGCTGTGCTGGCTAGACTCAGGTGGGCTCTATCACTACAAATATAAATTGGGCACTTAATAAACATCACTACATAATACTACTAAATTTATCTCCCACCACCACCACCACCAAAAAACAAAAACAAAAAAAGGCACTTTGTATTCTTCAAAATACCTGTCGGTAAAAACCTTGCTTTCTCCTCTCTTTTTTTTTTTTTTTAATATATTTTATTGATTTTTTACAGAGAGGAAGGGAGAGGGATAGAGAGTTAGAAACATCGATGAGAGAGAAACATCAATCAGCTGCCTCCTGCACACTCCCCACCTGGGATGTGCCCGCAACCAAGGTACATGCCCTTGACCGGAATCGAACCTGGGACCCTTGAGTCCACAGGCCGACGCTCTATCCACTGAGCCAAACCGGTCAGGGCTACTTTCTCCTCTCTTCAAATGTCCACCACTCACTCTCAGCTGCTGACCACAGAAAAAAAGTCTTTCCTCTTCTCCAAAATCAACCAACTTACCTGCATCTGTAACTCCTGTTCTGTCCACCCTTCTGTAATGGAAAAGTACTTCAAGCTCTTAACTAGTTAATCCTTGTTGTCTCAAGAACTTGACTCCTGCAATTATTCCCTTTTTCCCTCCCCTGCATCGTGTATTTATCCCACTCTACTAAATCATTCTTAAGGATATATATACACGACTTTACAAAACCTGTCTTTATATTCACAGTTCCCTCCAGGGACCATCTTATTTCTCTGCTCCCCTTCCCAGCAAAACTCCTTTCCACTTCCTCACTCTCAATCTTACTCCATCTAATAGCAGCATTTGCTATGGTTTAACACACTTTTCTTCTTGAAACACTTTTTTCTCTAGACTTCAATGGTACACACTAATGCAGTTTTTATCCTTTCACTGACATGCCTTCTCAATTTCCTTTATGGGCTCCTTCTTCTCTGTTATTTTACTAAATATTCCTAAAATCTCTTCTCCTCTCTATCCTCTATCACCAATCAGTGCCATCTAATCCCATGGCTTTAAAATACCATTCATATAGTGATGACTTCCTACTCCTACTTTATACCTACAATTCAGTGCACTTCCCTGAATATTAGATGCAAGTATTTGGCCACAATTTAACAACTCCAATTGGATTTTAAAAGCCATCTCAAATTTAACACAGGGAAGAAAAAAAAATTAGCCCGGCCAGTGTGGCTCAGTGACTGAGTGTCAACCTATGAACCAGGAGGTCATGATTCAATTCCTGGTCAGGTATATGCCCAGGTTGTGGGCACAATCCCCAGTAGAGGGTGTGCACGAGTCAGCCAATCATTGTTTCTCTCTAATCATTGATGTTTCTATCTTCCTCTCCCTTCTTCTCTGAAATCAATAAAAATATTTTTTTAAATCATCTATCACCAAACTATCTCCACTCCCAAAGCTGTTCCTTCCCCAAATGTCCCCCCACCCACACTCACCCAACCCATCACAGATAATGGCACTATCCAGTTGCCCGAGTCAAAAATACAAATCTAGGAATCACACCTAATTCATCTTTTTCCATCATACATCCCATACTCCCCATACCAATCCATTAAAGTCCTGACAACTCAACATCCAAAACATATCTTAAAACTAACCACATCCCATCATGTCCACTAAAACCCCAGTCCATATCTGCATCATTGCCACACTTAACCAATGCAATAGCTTGCTAAAAGTCTCCATTCTCCATTCTTCATGTCCCCCACTCCCTACCTGCATGCACACACTCTACACACAGCAGTTAAAACAATAATTCAGATGTTATCCCCCTGCTTAAATTTCTCCCATGGCCTCTCTTTTCAAAGAGAAAAAAATCTTAAACCCTTACCATGGTCTACGGGAGTCTACATAATCTATCTAGCCTTTATCTTTCTAACCTCATTTCTCTCTTCTCTCTAGTTCCCTACCATTGACCTTCCAACTTACCTCAAATAAGCATAAACCTTTCCCCTTAAAAAAAAAAAAGGTAAAGAAAGGTTTCCATGTAAAGATATCAAAATCCCTTGCATTTGAAGAAGAGGAAAAACCACTAAAAACTTATCAATCTAAATGGCATAAGCAGACATTATTCAATATTAGATAACTTGGTTTCAAATTCAATTGTATCTTGAACCAGTAATGCTTCTAAGTAGCAAGTCTATTTCCTTTTACTATATAAAACTTCTGTTCATTTTTCCCTCCCAAAGGTCTACATTAATATTACAAAAGATAACCTCAAGAAGAAAATCCCAAAGTTAAGAAATTTATAACATGTGAATAATGACTCCCCACCTCCTTGAACTTCCTATAAAAAATATATATAAATCAAAGAAAGAAAAGATGGATTTTAACTACCTGGTTGTGTGGCCAACCTGTTAATCTTTCTTTTAGAAAATAGGAAGTAATCACTTACATATTCCCTGAAGTATCAGCCCAACTCTAAATTCACTTCCACTTTCAAGTTCAGTCAATAATTATGTGCATCATACATTATTAATAAAAACAATCATACATTTTCAGAATAGCCTAGACAGGTAGTTCAAAGCAAGTTAATGAATTTTCTCTACCCCATCACTAGCCCCTGCCTATTTCTCCTATATTAGGACCTTTATGATTCTAATACTCTCTTTAATTAATAATAACGTTGAATAACACGAAAGGTTTATAGTGTGTCTTCATACAGAATAGCTTGAGAATTTTAGAAGTTAGAATAAAATGTAATACCCATATGTTCAAAACAGGGGTTTGGGACTATGTTTAATAAACGTGTGTTCCATGAGTATGCATCAGGAAATCCACAATTTCCAGATTTTATGTTAATTTTGTGTGCACAGGCAGAGGCACATATATGAGGTCACTGGTTCGATTCCTGGAAAGGGCACATGCCCAACTTTCATCCCGATCCCCAGTTGGGGGTGGGCAGGAGGCAGCCGATCGATGTTGATGTTTCTTTCTCATATATGTTTCTTTTTTTTCAATCTGTTTTTTTAATGTATCTTTATTTCAGAGAGGAAGGGAGGCGAGAGATAGAAACATCAATGATAAGAGAGAATTATTGCTTGGCTGCCTCCTGTACGCCCCCTCCCCGCCCCCACTGGGGATCAAGCCTACAACCCAGGCAATGTGCCAGAACCTAGTTCATAGACTGATGCTCAACCACTGAGCCATGCCGGGTGGATACTCATCGATGTTTCACTCTCTACCTCTCCCTTACTCTCTCAATCAATTAAAAAAAAAAAAAGATGAAAGCTTTAAAAAAATTTATTTTAATAAAATGGAAGGTGATTTTTTAAGCCACTAATTTAAAGTTCTTGTTTCTAGTTGCCTACCATAGAAAAAGGCAATTATTGATCACTACCTAATAGTTCACCTTGAATCAACATTTCAAGTATATACACAGCTTTACTGAGTGCAAATCAGCATAACTATCTGATAGAAAATGCTAAAAACAAAAATAAAAAGTCTTAAATTCTGGAAAGGTCATAGACCTATAAAATTTAACCTAATATTGGTAGTCAACACTGTACTTGAACAAAGTAGTTTGCCCCCTCCACCCCGCCCTCACCCCAACAGTAACTTAGAGAAAGACTGCCATCTAGTGATGGCCTGTTTCTAACATTCTGTGAAACTTAAACTTGATGTGGCCAAGTCCAAGGGAATGCTCAAAAATTGAAAAGTTATATTCTATACTCCTGCTGGCTAAAGAATTATAACTAGTTATTAAATTGCATTTTATATAAAGTACTCTAATATTTACATTTCCGATAGAAAACAGAATTTTTTTTAAATATATTTTATTGATTTTTTACAGAGAGGAAGGGAGAGGGATAGAGAGTTAGAAACATCGACGAGAGAGAAACATCAATCAGCTGCCTCCTGCACACCCCCCAATGGGGATGTGCCTGCAACCAAGGTACATGCCCCTGACCGGAATCGAACCTGGGACCCTTCAGTCCGCAGGCCGACCCACTGAGCCAAACCAGTCAGGGCAGAAAACAGAATTTTGAGAATAAGGTCATGTGCTTTTGACATGTCCTGGTGTGCCAGAGTTAAATAAGACTATGAAATAAATGGCATCACTGGTTAAATTATTTGTGATAACCCAAAGAATATCCAAGTACCTAGTAAAAGATAAACAAGAAGAAATTCTTGGAAATTAACTTATTATGGGCTATATTTTGACTCAACTATATAAATGCTGCCTTATAAAGTGAATGTTTTATCCTAGGGTCTATATCTGACGCATACCTCTGAACATCCCACCAAGACTTCATGTACATATTAAGAGAGGTTTTAACTTATAAAATGGCACTTCAGGCATTGTATCCAACAGATATCTATCATTGCCCATTATAAGATTATGTCACTTGCTAGAGCCTACATTAGCTCAAATACGTTTGTCATAAGATAAAAATAAATAATATTATGAGCATATGGAATCTCATTTAAATCCCATGCATCTTATAAATTAGACATTATTCCCATTTTATAAATAAGGAACCTGAAGCTCAAGAAGATTAAGTATCCTGCCAAATTCACACATCTAGAAAGTGTCCTCTGGAGTACATCAGTCTGTCCCCTTTCAGAACAAGGAAAGCAAAAAAGTC